TGAAAGAAAATAGTGTATTTTATTAGAAATATAGTCCATTTTTATGTGACCAATTGTGTTCCCCAATCTCCAAATTCATTTCTGACTCCCAGCAACTCAGAATGTGAGCTTATTTGGAAATAGGGTCATACCAGTGTAATCTGTTAAGGTTGAGGCCATACTGGAAGGGGGTAGACCCCAATTCAATATCATGTGTCCTTATTAAATTTTTTTTAAAAAATATTTTTTAGTTGTACTTGGACACAATACTTTGATTTTATTTATTTATTTTTATGTAGGTCTGAGGATCGAACCTAGGGCCTCTCACGTGCTAGGGGAGCACTCTACCACTGAGCCACAACCCCAGCCCCTTATGCGTCTTTATTAAAAGGGGAAATTTAAATTGAGACACACAGGCATACGTTTGTGTATATACACATACAGAATATACTATATCAACATTAGGGCCAAAATCAGTGTGATGAGTCTACAAGTCTAAAAACACCAAACCTTGGCAGAAAACCACCAGAAACTGGAAGACCAGGCACAGATTTTTCTCTAGAACCTTCAGAGAGAATATAGCTCTACATATGGTCTTGAATTCCTAGCCTACAAAATTGTGAGAAGATAAATAATTCTGTTAAGCCACAAAATTTGTGGTACTTTGTTATAGCAGCTGTATTAAATTAATACAATCCCATTACTTTAATATTAATTTTGAGCTTAATATTTTAGACTTCAAAATAAGGCATCTACTTGAGTTAGGAAATGGTTTGCTTAAGGCACTTTGGCAAGTCAGGGAGGAAATGATTATCCTTCCACATTTTATTACTGACCATAAACTGTTTTATCTTTGTTGCAAAGCCGGTTGGAAACTTTGGCTTGGTCATACATTTATGCTGTTTAATCAGGTTGGCAAGTTTTCTCAATAAGTCTTTTTGTCACTCCTGCATTCCTGAGGTAGGCAGGGCTCACACTCCTAGCATAAACAATTTGTCAATGAGTTACTTCTGCCTTGTTATCTTTTGCATCGTCTAAAGTTTTGCATACTTGTTCTCTAGCTAGAGAACATTTCCTTAAGTATTATTGAGTGTCATACACTAATTATTATTAAGATTTCTGGGGATTATGGGCTTTCCAGTCTTGGAAAATGCATGCTGTTTTTTGTGAAATGGCCCCAACGGTAGTTTAGTAGTTTTTCAGAGAAACAGAGCTAAATATATATATATATATATATACACACACACACAAATACATATTTATTTTATTTATCTATGGAGAGCAAGTGAGAGATTTTAAGGAATTTATTCACACAATTTTGGAGACTGGCGAGTACAAACCTGCAAGGTAGGTAGTTTGGCAGGCTGGGTAGAATTGATGATAAAAGTCTAATGTAGTCTGCTGGCCAAATTTCTGCATTTTTGAGAGCGATCATTCTTTTTCTTTTGAGACTTTTTAGTCTTAAAAGAGGTCCATTCATTTTCAGTCATTTGCTTTCTGAAAGGCTACAGATTTAAATATGTAATGGTATTCTCATCTGAAAAATAACTTCATAGAGATATTTGACCAAATATCTGGGTACCACAACCTAACCAAACTGACACATAAGAGTAGCCATCACAGTCCCAAATGAATTCTGCCTCCCTGAATTTATGCCTTTTTGCATCCTCCTCCAATATTGAATCAGGGTGACCTTGTAACTTTCTTTGAGCAGCAGAATGTGGTAGAAGTTACCTGAACAAATAAGACCTCTTAAGACCTTAGGAGGTCTTAATTTCTACTATTGCTGTCTTGGACACCCAGCCTCCATCTGAAGAAGCAAGTTTTGTTCCTTCAAAGAGGAAGAGACTTCAGAAAGGAGAAAACCCTGAAGTAGAGAGAGATCCAGACATTTTGGCTTTCTCAGTCATCTTAGCTGAGACACAAACCAGCTTAGATCCTCCAGTTTCTGAGGACTCCAGATGACTCAGCTAAAAAAAATTGGTGAGAGGCCCTCTCTGGAGTCCTGCTCAAATTAGTCACAAATCAAAACTGGTGTCTTTAAGTCACTAAGTTTTGGGGGTATGTGTCATGCAGAAATAGTTAAGTGATATTTATGCCAGAGATTTCATTAAAATATTTTACAAAAAAAGGTTTAGGATCCAGAATATCATCTCATCAAAGTACAAATAATAGTGCCAGTTTACACAAGACATTGAAAATATCAACTCAACTTTTCTTAGGTTAGATTAGGACTTGCTACTACTATTTTCAGAAGGACTAGTATTTAAATAGGACAACTTCACTACTAAAGATCTTGTTTCAGTATAAATTCCGGGTTTGCTTTTCATCTAGAAGGAAAAGAAGAAAATCAACTATTTCCTATACTATTCTTCTCAACCTAACTATGGCTATTTCCTTGACTTTTAAATCTTGACTGTAGGACTGGGGATGTGGCTCAGGTGGTAGTGTGCTCTCCTTGCATGCGTGCGGCCCGGGTTCGATCCTCAGCACCACATACAAACAAAGATATTGTGTCCGCCGAAAACTAAAAAAATAAGTATTAAAAATTCTCTCTTTCTAAAAAAAAAAAAAATCTTGACTGTACACCTGTGCCAATTGGCTCACATTTTGGAAACATAAAAGGGAAGAAACAGAAAAGTGAAAATGGAAAGATTAATGAATAAAGGCAGTAACTTAGGAGGTTAACTTGAAAAAAAAAAAGAGGAGTCAGTGACCCGGTCTACTTTTTGGCCTAGAAAAGTTTTTTTGAATCCTACTCCTCTGCCCTCCCTTGACCATTAGATAGGAACACAGGGTAGTAGGGTTGTTTAGATATTCAAATAGGTGACTTTAAGGGTTAATAGCAGCTCAGTTTTATCAGTGAAAGGGTTGCAAATGTCTCTGGGCAATTTCTAATGGAGAAATTCAGAGACTTTTGACTAAGGTGTTACAGGTAGGGAAGTTGAGCTTGGTCTTGTCAATGCTGTAGGAAGCACAGAGAGTAGTTTTGTGTGTTAATTCTCCACTGAGGTTACAGCACATGTGGTAGAGAAATAAAGGTGATTTCACAGATTCTTGACATTTCTAATGAGTATACAATCATTACAAACCTTGTTAAATGAATGATTTAAAAAATGACAGAAAACAGGCTTCTGATAAATTTTAGCGGTTTATCTGAATAATTGATTTTTTAAAAAATATTTTTTAGTTGTTGATAAACCTTTATTTACTTATTTATATGTGGTGCTGAGAATGGAATTCAGTACCTAACACATGCTACCGCTGAGGTACAACTCCAGCCCCATGACTGGTAATTTTTAAGGAAATGAAAATGTCTATAATCAAATAGGAATGCCCTATTAGTAAAAAAACCCAGTTAATCTCTTGCCATATGCTACAGATTGGATTACCTCTGGATTAACTACTCCAAAACAGCAGTTTAATCACTTGGAAGAGTTGTTAGATCAGATTGTGGTCCTCAGCCCTAGAATTGCAGATTCAGTAGTTTCCTGATTATGTAGTAAATTAAAATCTCTCGTATCATTTGTAATACTTATTTTGCAGTTACTCAATAAAATTTTATTACAAATATTTTGATGCTCATATTTTTTTTTTTTTTTTTTTTTAGTCACAAGGAATCTCTCTGACCTAGATTCTGTGTCCATTTATTATCTACCCAACTTTTGCTTTCTGAGTAAGATATTCCTGGTCAACCTTCGACATTCTCTGCTGCAGTCTGGAATTAGACATTTCCTAAGGATCCATGGTCCTTTTAGTGGAAAACTGTTTATAAATCAATAGATGTGCTTAGTAGCTAGAACTAGGGAATATGTGTGTGAACGTGTGGTATATATTATAAACATACACAAATTTATATACACTTGAATCTTTAAATATATTTCAATATATATATGAATCTTACGAGTTTATGATGAATCCAATTCGAATCCAACACAATAGGCTTCTTTTTAAAAGGCAAAATAAAAATTAATTAGTTCAAGTATTGTATATAGGAATTATCAAATCACTTCCTTTTAAATACTTGACTTTATTGTAGTAGTCATAAGTTTTCCTCTTTTGGATAAATTCCTGACTACACTTACAAATTTATCTGACAGACATCTGCCATGGAGGGTATTGCTTCCTTCAGTAAATTCAAAGCAAGATTTCATGCAGGAGCTCACATAGATCCACAAGATGAACAATGGTATTTAAGTGTTTTGCTCCATTTTTGGGGGGATCAAAGATAATAAATCATTTTAAAGTAGCACAGGTTACATGAAGAATTTGATCCTAAAAGTCTAATTTTTAACAGCAGTTGGGGAAAAATTCTTTGTAAAACTTAAAGAACTACAGAACATAAAATTAAAAAATCATCAAGGTTAATTCACAGTGCTGAAAAATGGAAAAGGAGACTTAAATCTAAACACCAAAAGGGAATTTGCTAAACTCTATCAAATACCAATGGCATGGAATCCCCAGGATGAAGTGTGGTGGCTGAAGCTACAACAAAATGTTAAAAACACAATTTTATTTATAGAAATATCTTTATTTTTAATGATTATAAATCTGAGAACTTTAATGTACATTTCTTTCATCTATTATTCTATGATTAAAATTATATTAACAAAGCAGGGAATTTCATACATATGAAACTAACATGTGACAGCTAATTCAGAGAATCCTCTTGATAACAACTCCCACTGGCAGCCCTATGGATCATCAACTTTTAGTGCTGGATGTTGAGAGATCCAATATTTTAATCCTCCTATTCTACAGGGATGATAGTAGTTACATCAGGGAGATAAAATGACTTTCCCAAACTAACAGTGGTGGAGAGTTCAATATTAAGTGACATTTCTCTAGTTCTAACAGTCCATGGGTTCTCTTACATATTGTAATGCATTTTCTTTGATTAAAAATAAGCCATTACTAGGAGCTGTGGCACAAGCCTATAATCCTGGAGGCTGAGGCAGAAGGATGGCAGAGTTCAAAGCCAGCCTCAGAAACTTAGCGAGGGCCCAAGCAATTCAGCGAGACCCAGTTTCTAAATAAAATATAAAAAAAGGCAGGGGATGTATGTGGCTCAGTGGCTAACCGCCTCGGCTATCACTGGTACCAAACAACAATAACAACAACAACAACAAAATATATGTTTTACTCTCAAAAGATCTTAATGGTCTTTCATGGGTTAGTATCATACCTCACACGTTGTAGGCAGTAATATATAGTAGTTAGGCTAATATAACTACTTACTAAAAATGCATCTTAACCTTGAATAGAGTGTCAATGGCTCCTTTGTGTATAAGGGTATGTATATTTCCAGTGAAACAAATATTTAAGATGCTTCCAACATATCAAAAATATTTAAAAATGCCATTACTATTTTACTCTTTAAACATAAAGTTATATTGTGTGTGTGTGTGTATATATATAAAGTTATTTAGCTTTTTCTCATTAAAATGTTCTTATCGATTAAGTTCTAGACTTTGGAAATCACAAAAGCAATTCATATCATAACGTACCAATCATTAGTGAAATTTGGCTTCCTTAGATTCTTAGCTAAACGCAATCATGACATTGCAAATATTTCCCTTTTGTATAACAGTAGGAATAAATGCGGAGTCGTTGGGGAAATCGAGATTGTTTTGGAAAGCCAAAGGAAAATGTCAAAGAAGGTCGGTAACCTGCACCCTGGAGTAAATCCATTCCATACAGAGGCAGGCAGAAATGAGTTTTTAAATTCAGGAGCAGCCCCTTGCTGTTTCTCCCTCACCCGGACAGCCCTTGAAGGTAAAGATGAATTCATTCGGTTCTACCTCTACGGCCCGGGGCAGCTTCTATTTCCAAGTGGGCACCGGAACCTTCAGGAATTCTACTGCCCCGGGGAGGACTGACCTCCGGGGTCTTCCGTTCGCCACTGAGCCTAGGCTGGCCTGCGGCGCCACCGCTGCCAGTTCACAGGTACAGGGCACGCGCACCCAGAAGCAGGAACGCCTCTACTAGCCGCGCCAGAACCCTAGTGCCTCAGCCGAGTCCCACTGCCAAGGCCCACGCCACTCCCGGAGCTGGAGCAGCAGCTGCGACCATTGCTGCCTTTACCGGTTTGGAAGCGGCCATGTTGAGTGTCTTGTGCCACCGCCTCAGAGACACCAGGTATTGTGAAAAGGAAGTCCCCACCGAGAAAAGAAAAGAAAAGCAATGAGCAATAGCGCACGTTAGGAAGCCAAAGCAGATGGCAGAAAAGGGCCAGGGTCAGCGGAAGCCCAGGGCATGCCGGGAAGACCCAGCCTTGGATTTCCTCCTCTCTCAGCAGTAGGGGAGGTCACTACCGGGTTGGAGGAAACCGTGTGCGGTGGGCGTTCCTAGACAAGCCCTTTCTCTTTCCTTTCGCCTCGCTGCTGTTTGGGAGTACCACTTCTGGGGCCTTGGGCCTTCCGTGGTAGCAGATATCCTCCAGTCCACCTTTAGGATGGAAGGACAAGTGGTCCTCTTGCCTAGTGGGGCCGAGGAGGGCGCGCAGCGCGCAAGGGTGTGCGGGCAATTAGATCGCCAGGACGCTCCGCGGAGGCACTCTGATTGGGCGGGACAGACGGAAGAAGTGTGGAAATTATAGGCTGGCAGGGATGGTGGGCGGGGCGTAGGCCGAGCTGCTCAGCTGATTGGTAGGTTTTGGATCCCGTTTTCCCCTTTCAGTCYCTTGGCTTTTCTTGAACGTGGGCAGCCCTTTAACTCAGCTGCCCACATGTAGAGGAAACCAACTGATTGGAAGGACTTTAAAAGTGAGCAAGGGAAGAGGTGAAGATAGCTTAGTGTATCGCCCATCTTTTAATCTCTCTCATAGCCAGATTTTAGTTTAGACTAATTTGAGGTTATGGGGGCAATAGCTGGGGGCAAAAAACTAGGTTGAAACCGACAAAGACAGGGTGATTCCAGTCCAAAGGGGTTGATCGGGGTTCCTGCGACTCTTAGTCTGAACCAGTTAGGAAAACAATGAGATTCTTAGTCTGAACCAGTTAGGAAAGCAATGATGTGTACACCGTTAAGAGAATCTCAAGTGACTAGGTAGAAATGCGAGGTCCCAGGCTTCCCACCTGCTTCCAGTCTTCCTTGTGTAGTGGTATCTTGAGATGTATCCCATCTGACAACCCAGCCCACTCCAGGCTCCCTGAAGTCATGTGCCTGCCCCAGTGCTCTGATCTGCCCACCCTCGTGCTTGTTTTGCAATGTCTTCAGCTCTCCCGTCATGCCCAAAATGTGATTTTAGTTCAGAGCTTTTATATCTCCAAAAGCTTTGTCAAGTGTTTTTCCTTTGCTGTGTGCGTGACCACTTAAATATGAAACTGTTGCAAGGTATTTAGAGTTAACACTATTTTCAAGGGTGAGAATGCATAACTGGCTCCCCATTTCAGGTATAGTGGTTTGCCGACCCTTACATTGAAACTTATAAATGATCATTTGACTTTTGAGTACAGGAGGATTTTCAACATCACAGAAGTGCTAAAAGAAAGAGAAAGAAAATTATTAAGTGGCACTCATAGTGATTTAAAATCGAATGGCCTAAACTGAAAGAGTTTCAGGATCATTGCTTTTCTCTTGCTTCATGTAGATTCCTATCAGGACATTGCTTTTAAGCAATAGGTTTTCTTAGCCACAAACTAAGAAAATAGGCTAAACATATGGGAGTGGAATCAATTTGATCAGATAGTGATTGTTAGAGGTGAACTGCTTTCTCCCCTCCTGATTCAGGTAGATCTCTTGTCTCTTGATGTGATCTTGACCTTGCCTTTTAAGAAAATATTCCTGAAATTTCAGTTTTTCTGTGGCATCTTGGAGCATTGTGTAATGCTAGCATTTATAAACTGTTGGTTGGAACTAAAACATTGAAATTCAAAGATTTCAAAAAGGATTGCTTATTTATTGGAATAGTCAATAATATATTGTTATGGTTAAGATCCAAAATTTATAAAGGTTTAGTGTTAAAAGTCTACCTTGGGACTAAAGGGATATAGCCACATCAATGTTTATAGCAACATGATTTACAGTAGCTAAACTGTGGAACCAACCTAGATGCCCATCAGTTAATGAAGAGATAAAGAAAATGTGGTATATATACACAATGGATTACTATTTATCATTAAAAAAGAATAAAATCATGGCATTTGCAGGTAAGTCGATGGAGTTGGAGAATATAATGCTAAGTTCGCCAATCCTCAAAAACCAAATGCTGAATGTTTTCTCTGACATAAGAATGCTAATTCATAATGGGGTTGGGTGGGGAGCATGGGTGAATTAGATGAACTCCAGATAGTACCAGGGAAAGGGAGGGATCATGGGGGTAGGAAAGACAAAATGGTGGAATGAGATGGACATCATTACCCTAACTATGTGTATGAAGACACTAATGGTGTGACTCTACTTTGTGTACAACCAGAGATGTGAAAAAATGTGCTCTATATGTGTAATATGAATTGTAATACATTCTGCTATCCTATATAACAAATTAGAATAAAAAAAGTCTCCCTTGGGGTTGGGGTTATGGAGTGGTAGAGCGCTTGCCTCTTATGTGAGGCACTGGGTTCAATTCTCAGCACCATATATAAATAAATGAAGAAAATAAAGATCCATCAACAACTAAGAAAGAGTATTAAAAGAAAAAAGTCTGCCTCATTTCCTTCCCCCAGCCACACAATTCCCCTCTTAAAAGGGAATGAATGTTAAGAGTTTCTTGAATTATTTTTTTATCAACTAATATCCCTCCAAAGGATTGATTCGATTTTTAGAATAGGCATTTTTGCAAATGAATTCATACTTGTTGCTTTTATACTTTTAGAAAACATTTTAATTCTACTCCTTGCTTATTCATCTTTTTTTTTCCATTTCCTAATTTCATGTAGTGTAGAGCTGAATTCACAATTACAGGCTTTTTTACCTTAATGACTGAATGCATAATTTTCTAAGCTGCGAAATGGTGAAAACACACTCCTTTCAGTTTATGGTAAGGATTTAATTAGATAATATTTAGTCCTTTTGATTTGTTCCAAACCAGTATTCAATGCTTAGCTCTCTGTTTTTCTAAATATTAAAGAATAAAAGTCAAAAACAAACCCATGATTCTAAAAGAAATGGAAATTTTGTATATGTGAACATTTTCTTGATAGATGAACAGAACTCAGAAGAAACTGTTTTCTCTCTCTTTGATCTGTGTCTTTGGAGGCAATTGAATGAGGCAGAAAACTCTATAATGGATTGGCATTTGGAAGCCTTGAGTTCTTATTTTAGATGTCAATATCACTGAACTGTGTCACTGTTAAGAAACTTTGCTTTCTATGTAATGTGAATGGTGACTTAGATGATCGATTTATAAGTCTCCTTATTGTTTTTAAAATGTATGATTCTAGGTGGGTGCAGTGGCACACATGTGTAATCCCAGTGGCTCCAGAGGCCGAGGCAGAAGGATTGCGAGTTCAAAGCCAGTCTCAGCAAAGAGGAGGTGCTTAACAACTCAGTGAGATCCTGTCTCAATAAAATACAAAATAGGTCTGGGGCATGTGGCTCAGTGGTCAAGCGCCCCTGAGTTCAATCCCTGGTACTCCTCCAGACCACCACCAAAAAAACCGTATGATTCTTCCTGGTTGACTGAAGGTATTGTAGGGGACATATGAGGCAGGGCACCAAAGATAGCAGGAAACAGTTTTATTTGTTTGCAGCCAGGTTCAGAGGGAACCGATTTTGCTGTAATCAATTATTCCCCTGCACCCCAACACCCCAGGATCAGGTAGTTTCAGAACTTTATACCCAGCGTGTAAGGGGAGGGGCTCAGAAGTTCACAGTCTGCAGAAGTTCACCTAAAAGCAGCTTTTTCTTTCACTGTTTTGGACTAGTTAACCCTTCAAGGACAACACCTGAGAAGGGGAGAGCTTCTTCGCCCCTTTCTTTCCTCTCCCTGCAAGCTGTTACCATGGAGCCCAATTGGTAATTTATCTTAGAAATGCAGGCATCTCTGTGAAGCTCCAGCTCAAGGCTAGAGGCCTTGTTAAAGGATTTTTCTTTTAATTATCACATTTTGCATTTGCAAACACACTTTTACAAACTACTACACTGGATAAATGTCTGTGAAAAACTAGTAAAGGGGCGTTAAGCACCTAAAGTGCTGACTTTTCACAGGCCATTGGCCAAATAAAATAGAGTAACAGGAAAATAGGAAGTTTACCTACATTGAACTCTTTTGTAGAGACTCTTATGCTGATAGTCCTAAAATCAATTATGGTGAAAATTTCTGGAGAAGCTAAGTTACGATGTTCTGTGGAGAAGGGGGTGCCACTACAAAGAGTGTCCAGACCTTCTGGTGAGTTCATAAATGTGCTTATTTTAAGCACATACCTACACAGCTCTCTTCTCTTTCATTTCGGCCTTCAGTTTTCATTCTTTCCATTCCTCTTTACTGAAAAATTACCGGAAAGAATTATCTCCACCTGTTAGTTCTATTTATTTATCATCCATTTCCAATCTGTTGTAACCTAGTTTAACTTTATAATTTTTGTGAATCTGCTTAGGAAATTTAAAAAATTTATTTTTGTTTGGAACATCATGCAGTATTATGTGATACCATTGTCCTTAAAATGTTTTCTCTCTGTGTTTCAGAGAAGATATTCAGACTAGATTTTCCTGATTCTATTCTCTAACTGTTCTCCAGAATTAATGTAAATAGTTGCATGTGACTAATGGCTACTCTACTGGACAAAACAGCTCTAGAGCTTCCTGAAATACAGGAATTCATAAGAATTTATATTCTTTTGTTTTGTAATCTCTTCAGTGTGTAAGCAAAGCACATCTCATTGCTTCAGGTGCCATTTCTATACAACTTATCTAAATGTTTCTTGCCCTGATTTCTGCCTTTATATTTTATACTACTTACAGAGAAGCTTTGCTTGGATGCTTCATTTTGTCAACAACAAGAAGCATCAATAAATAAATCATTTGCCCTCCCCATTCTTTCATTTTGTGTAATCCTTTTGTTCTTATATTACCTTTATTACATTGCTAGTGACCCCACTTGAAGCCTTAAACCTTTTTAGGACTTTTATAACCCTACCCACCCAAGCAAAAATGATTATAACCATATATTCATATGGAAACAGGAAATCAGCTGTGAA